TGGACTGGACTGGACTGGGGAAAGTGGCATAGCTCCATGGAAATTACAGATTTGATTTATCCCTGCTGAAGATGCAGCTGGGGTAGAATTTACTGACAAGAAATTACCAATCAACTGGTTTGAAATGAGAGCTGGAAGTATGAGGGATGAGTTAAATAAATCTACTTGCCCTCACATATTAAAGACTGGAGTCTGCTTATTGCAGGCAAGAGGAGAAGGAGAGAGGCTGTGCAGGAGCCTGCCAAAATCTCTGAGGTGTGGGAGTATTACTGAGCAGTGTGGGAAGACTTGGCACACTTGAAAGGAAGTGGAGTATGGCACCAAAGCCCATTTCTTGGGAGCAAGAGGGCTGGCTGGGGGCAGCCTTGCTGACCAAATCTGTCTTCCTACCTCCTCCTAGCATCACAGCCAGTCCATTTCAGGAGATAATTGGGTGGTCAAAAAGTTACTTTTGAAAATCCTTAGCTTTATATCTTTATTTTGTTCCTGTCTTTGTGATTTCATGCCCTAAAAACAGCTATCAGGTTGTTAACGGCTGCATTTGTTAAGCAAGGAGTAAGCAGCTGGGTTTCAAACACTCACTGACTGAGCTGGTCCTTAAGGCAACTCTTTGAGAATTTTGCACCAACAGAAGAGAAGAAAGGAGAAAGTGGAAGGGAGTGTTTATATTGAAATCTTTATTTAGTTCCAAAAGCCTAGAGCAAATCATCAAAACACAGAGTGCCTCATACAAGCCAAGACAGGGAATAGAATTTCCATTTTATTCCAGATGAGAAGTCGGTCTTGTTATAAAGGGGGTTGGGTGACAAAGCTAAATGTAATTTAAATTTCTACTCCAATCTATTTTTAATTATTCATGTGTAGATTCTTTTGTAGGGTTAACAAGGAATTTGCCAGGAGCCAGGCCACAAAGGCTTCAGTCGTAGTTTTCCAGCAGACATCCTGAAAATACACTGTCACAGGCAATCAGTGTCCTTGGGGAGGCGCCCTGTTAGCAGGGTGTTCACTAATTGGGATCATTCCACAGCAGATAATTGTTTGTGACACCCACGCTGATTGGACCCACAATATCTTCCCATCCTGCAAATGGTCCATGACAGTTTTGATGAATTTGAAGTTTGAAGTCTGAATAAATGCAAGGAAGGAATGAAGAAATCCTTCCACTGGAAAATACATGTAGGAGACAGAGCTGTGCCCTGGGTCAGCCCCCAAGAATGGAGACACATGAGCACACAGAGAAAGGCCACTGGTGGGTCTTGTCACACTTTCTATTTTTTCCCCTTGTGTTAATTAAGAGGCTGGAGGAGGACCAGCCATGCCAAAATAAAACGGGGAGAACTGGTTTATTTTGCACAGGACAGGGGTGTCCTAACCAAGGACCTTTGGACTTATGGGGAAACTGCAGATTTATTGAAATATCTGAATGAGTTCAGATGTGGGTCAGGCCTTGCTGCCAGACAATAGCAGAAGTGGTGCAGATATGCCCAGCAAACCAGCAGCTCTCTGGGCTGGGAGCAGTGTGTGAGGGTTGTAAATACCATTTTGCAGAGGAGTACAGAGATTTTTAAAATTGTGTTTCTGGGGGCTGGCCCAAAAGGTATTTTATATTTTAGCTATTTCTGACTGATACATTGGTATGTGCTTTATGGCCAGTTTGAGAATCAGAGAACTGCAAGAGCTTTCCTGTCCAGCCTCCTGCTCAAAACTTATTTGCTCTTCTGTCCCAAGCGTTAATTGAATTTTCACGCATTTGACAGAAATGTGGTTGTCGTGTTTTGTCTGGTTTGTATCTGTACTGCACCAAGATGAGCAGGAGGAGCACCAGGTTTAGTTTTTGCAGTTCAGAGCTCAGAGCTGCAGTTGGATTCTGTAAACTCCACGCAAGTAAAAGTGCACAACGTTTGCCAGATTCCAGACTAAGGATGAAATTGCAGGGCTGGTCTTTGGCCATGGATAATTCTAGATAATTCTGGGCTTCCCTGCTCCCAAAATGTCCTCAGTGGTCAATAATTTTTATATATGTATTTCAGGGAGACTCTAAGAAACTTAGGACTGGATATATATCTAAGAATCACTGCTACAATATCCATATCCAGTGTCTGGGCCTTTTGATTGGGAAGTAAAGAATTAAAGAAACATTACTCTGTAACAAGCTTGGTGAGCCAGGGAAGTTATTAGTGCTGTTAGGAGAAGCTATATGCATGTACTGGCTAGTAATAGGCTAAAGTAATGGCTAAAGCATAGCAGACAAGGATTCAAAGGTGTCCAATGGCAACAGAGTTCATATTCCTTTCCAAAACAAAGGTCAGTCATCCTCCTGAGCCAGAAATTGTTCCTGGAGAGAGAGTTCTCCTGTTGCAGTAGTCATGCTCCATTCCACAAGCAAACGAAGTTCCAGATGTAAATTGGCACAGAAAATTATGAGAGGCCATCTAGATCCGAGCTTTGAAAATGGGATCTCTTCATATAATCTCTCATTTCCTCCAGATCCTCCCTGCCCAGCCCAGTGGGAGAGGCATCCCATGGAAGGATGTTCTAATGGTGGTCCTTGTAGAAGAAACCATAGTGAGCTGAGTGGTGGTGTGTGACAGAATAAAAAATCCCTCTTTACAATGGTCTTACCCAAGTGAAAACAGTCATCTGAAGATCTGTCTGGATGCTGCAGAATATTCTCCACAAACTCATCATGCTGGGGCCTGTGATTGCACTGGAGGAGTTCAAGAGTATTTGTCCGAGTTAGATATTGGGAGAGAAACCAGTGTCGTGTCTTAGGGGCAAAGCTGAAGGTGCTTCTCAGGACATCAAAATCGTGACACTGAGTAGCAGTGCCAGGCCAAGGAGTGGTGTAGGTTCATGATTTATGCAGGTGTGTTGTACAATTCCATATGGAATCACCAGTGCCACGAGAGCAGCACCAGCACAGCACAGACTGGACAGGTGAGTGGAAATGCACAGGACCTGCAGGAGGAGATCCATTGCCAAGGAAAGGCAGGTAGTGCCTGTCAGATATTGACCATTTGACAGTCTATTTAAGATCTCCCCAGGGAAACTCTCCAATCAAAGAAGAACTGTATTCCTTATAATAAAACTTTCAAGGTTTTCTCAGGACCTTTGTTAACCTCGTTATGTTGTGGTGCAGTGAGGAAACTTGCCCAAGAGCCATACAGAGAATGAAAAAGTCCAAACTGGAAGTGTCCAGGTGTGCTTTACAGTTGCTCCTTGTAAGCAACAAATGGGGTTAATTAACCCTTTCTAAAAATATGTTAAAGGTTTCCCCAGCAGTGAGAGGTGGGATGCTGCCCTGGTCATGCAGCATTCCACCAAAGCCAGCAGGATCACACAGGAGTAGTGTGGTCCAGCTTTCTGGCTCCTATCAGCAGATTATGACTTGAACGGGATCAAGGACTCAGACTTTGGAGTGGGAGCACTGGTTACATGAGATGATCATTTTTATGGGTGTTAAGAGAGGCAACCCATCCCCTAAAACCCAGCATCCCGCACATTTGCTTAACTCTGATAATCTTCTGGAGCTTTAGCAGATTCACAGGAAAGGGTGGACCTGGAAGGATTCCTGGAGGCTGTCAAATAAGTATCCAGTGTTTCAATTGCAATGAGCTCCAGTGCATCTTCTGTAAATCTGTTTCAAGTTGTTTTTTCGGGGTCACTGGAACACAGTATAAATCCCAGCTCGCTCAAGTCCTTCAGGCAGAGAATTTGTGGAATACATATGGAAATACTTTTGCCTGGTGTTCTCTGCTCTGCACCTCTCCCAAACAGAACTTACAATTGTGTTGCAGTATAAAAGGGAAAAACCTCCGAGCCTGGAGTAATGTATACAATTCAATAATACATGAAATTCAAAGCCACACATTAATCACATTCATGTTTAACTTTCAGATTTAAACCCCTGCAGGTTGGCTGCCCTTTGTTCTGCTAAGTGGAAGGGGGCATTCCAGACTCTCCGTGCAGAGTTCAAAAACTGCCTCGGGAAACAAGTGCAATTGGCTTTTTAGGTCTTTTTTTGTGTTCTCCCTTCGGGGCATAGTGAGAAGCTACGGCACAGGTTGGCCCCTTATCAAGCTGTTCAAAGGGAGAAAAGTTTGGGTAGCAAAGGTTTGGCAGGTCACTGTGAGGGGCTGCTGGCAGGTTCAGGAGGCCAAGACAGGAAAAGTGATGATGCTGCAAGTCAGAATCCAGCTGCATTGGCAGGTCTGGGCAGGAAGGGCAAGTTATACAACAGCCTCTCCTTTCCTCCCGCCACCAGCCAGCTTCCAAGCCCCTTGTTTTCATTACTGTCAGCTCATTTGCAGATTTTTGTGAGCAGGATTTCGGATGGGAGTGCTTGCCTCTGACATGCCCTTGTGAGTGTTGGATTATTATTAAGTGTTCCTGGTGGTTACCTTTGTCCAGGATTCACTCATCCGAGTGCTGCAGCTTCCTTGCCTCTGGCTGTTAGACCCCAGCTCTCCCTCCCTCCTTTCAATCCATTCAAAATGCTGTTGCAGTATGGCTTTATCCCTACCCTTTTCCCAGCAGCCTGGCTTTCCAGGGCTCCACACAGCCAAATTAAGCCACAGGGAACAAAGACTATTCTGCTGCCCATCAGAAAAGAGCTGCCATAGGAACCTGCCTGTTTGCTAATGCCTACACTGGCCTTGGTTATAAGCACCAATGGGGTTCTGTGGCTAACTGGAGGAGGAAATTATTTGCAGTAGCTGATTTGCATCAGGGTTATAGTCTGGGTTGATCCAATCATAGCAAGATGTGGCAGTAGGCATGGTTGTGCTGTGGGTGAAGGTATATTGAGAGTAGCTTCAGGTAGACAAATCTGGGGACTGGTAGCAGTCCAGCTGTGGCATTGTGAGGGTTAAGCATGTAGTAAAATCCTCACCAAAAACCTGGTCAATGACAATATTTTGGCCATCAGGGAGTTTAAAGGGCACCCACAGACCTGTAATGACATGTTGTCCTGCTGCCAAATCATAGAATCATGGGTTGACAGGGACCTTCCAGATGATCTCGTTCCAATCTGCTGCCATGGGCAGGGACACTTTCCACTATCCCAGCTCGCTCAGGGCTCCATCCTGGCCTTGAACACTTCAGAGATGGGACATCCACATCTTCTCTGGGCAGGGCCAGTGTCTCGCCACCCTCACAGCCAAGAATTTCTTCCTAATATCCAACCTAAACCTGTTCTTTGCCTGTTCAAAGCCATTCCCCCTTGTCTTGTCATTCCAGGCCCTTGTCCAAAGTCCCTCTCCACTTCTCTTGGATCCCCTCTAGGCACTGGAGAGTGCTCTAAAGTCTCCTAGAGCCTTTTCCTCTCCTGGCTGAACGACAGCCTGTCTCCATAGGAGAGGTGCTCCAGCCTTTGGGTCCCAGTGTCAACCCAGGGAAGGACTGAACTTAAGATGTTTTGTCTGAATAGGGGAGACAAAATCAGCATCCCAAGAGTGCTTATAAACATCCCAGAAAACAGGATATGGAGCAGACAGTTTAGGAGTAAACACGGGTGACTTGGTGAGACTACCCATCACCAGCCAAATGAGCCTGAACTTTGAAGTTAAAGGCTCTGAATTCCAGAGACTCCAAACATTTTACACACTCAAGTGAAATGCCAAGTTCAAGGCATATAGGAGGTGTAGTGTTGGATTAAGTGCTCTCCATACAGTGATGACCTTTTGCTGCTGGGTCATCCAAGGACATTTTCCATGCTAAATTCAGCTTCTGATGGGGCACATCATTAATAGTGGTGGAAGAGTTTGATCCTGCAGAACCTCTCTGAAGCTTAAAGGAGGAGAATAAAGAGGTCTTTTAACATGGGGTGGAATTCAAATGTTTGTCAAGATTGAGTGGTAAATTCATCACTCTCACCTGCAAAATTGTGGGCTGACAAATTGGGCTGAGCCCACCAGCTGACAAAGACAGTGTTGCCTGAAAGACTTTCATGTAGAATACAAATATTGAGATGCAACAGGGGGCAAAATTTTTCAATGTTGCCAGTTGAAGAGAGAATATTTTATGCAACAGCACTGAATTCAAATTGCACTTATAAAGTATGTACTGTTCTTGTAGAGCCACACTGGGGTTTTAATAAAACAAATGGGGTTTTAATAAAGTAAATGGCAAAGCTCCCACTGATAGGGTTTGGCCCACAGCAACTTCAGCTCTGGAAGTTATTCTGTATTATATATAGAAAGAAGAAACTTTCCAACCTATGAAGCTTTGATGCAAAATAAACTTTTCCTTTTTATGTCAAAAGAATGATTAGTGTCCTGTAAGCAGCATGCAAAAATTTCCAAAAAAGCTGGATTATTGAATAGTACCTTGGAGTTTTGGTGAGAGATCACACAAGTGACTTTCCAAACTTGATCCCTGTGCTTCTGCACTATCCAAATATATGGAAAAATGTGGAGCAGGCTTTCCAAAGGCATTAAGCACCCCACCCCCATTTTGAGGGCTGTGTTAACTTGAAATCAATATGGAGCCAGGTGTGTAATTTAGGCAGTCCCTGGTGTTTCAGAGTTGCCATAAGGAGCAGTGTTAGTTAGGACATAGTGGAACATCTCAGAGAAGTTCTGTTGACTTAAAAAGGAGCAGGACTCAGCTCAGCTTCTGATCTAAAAGGGCTTGACACAGGAGTAAGCATCTGTCAGCTGCCCAGTAATAACTTGCTGTTGGTGTATTCTGACCCTGTGACAGTCCACAATAAATGGGAAACAATTAGATCTAGTGTATCAGTGTGTAACTCGTGAGAAAGCTACCCCATATTTGAAAAAAAGCCTCCCCAGAGACATGAGTGTGCATGTGGACTGAGGTAAGCTGCTGTTTGGTAGTTTGTTGCAATCACTCATGATTTCTGAGTCAGTTCTGAGACACAGTGATTTCCATCTCCTCTAACTTCTCTCGATTCTTCTGTTCCTTTCAATTAATTTTTCCCTTATAGAAAGGAGTGGAGATTTCTATCATAGGCCAGTACTGAAATTTTAAGTTTGATGCTCATACATCATTTCTTCTTCCTATTTTCCTGATGAAAGATGAGCTGTATCCCGTTCTCCTAAGGGAACAGGACCCATGATGGTGGTTTTCTGCATGTTCCCTCAGCTTGGAATAACACAATTACAATCTGCAGCTTTTGCTCATGTCCACAAGGGTTGGATGGATGCTCACCCAACCACTGGATGCTGCTGTCCTTCAAGGAGAGTCATGGCTGGAAAATGTATTTATGATCAGCCAAAAGAATCCAGGTTCTGAAATTGTCACATTTGGTTTAAAGTTTATAATTAGTGGACTGTAAGGAGGGGCTCAGTTCCTATTACACTAGGGAGAAAAATCAGAGAACAATTTTTAAGGTTCAAGATGTGGGAAAGGAAACTCCCACAACATTCTAGAGAGGAGAAACCTGTGGCTCTTTGCTTTGCAGCAAGACAGAGGTGACACCACCTAGAAAGGTGTGTAGGCTTTGCTTAGGACAGGCTCAGCCTCCTGATAGAACTCTCTCAGAGCAGAAAATTGCTTCTAACACCCCAAATGTTTAAAAATATACATAGGAATATACATTGAAGGAGCATGAAGTAAATCTTAGGTAGCAGGTTATATCTAAAGGGACTTTTTTCTTAAAAGGCAGTGTATGATGAAAGACTTGCAGTCTCTCTTCTGTTCCTATGCTGGGAAAAAATCTTCTGGCCACACTGCAGGCAGCCAGATAGTTCACAAAAAGATTCAGTAACTTAACATGATCTTACTTGTATAGAACTTTCTGTTCTTTGACCTAACTCAATCCAGGAGGGTTTTAAAAGGAGAGAAATAAGGTGTTTCTAATTAAAAAAATTGGAAAAACCCCAAATTTTCAAGAAGAAAAAACGTAAACAACAGAAGAAAATCGATTGAAGAATTATTTAATTTAAAAAGTTGCCTAATTCTCCCCATGTTTCGACATGCAAGGTGGATCTGTGGCCAGCTTGTAAAGTGCAATCACTTGGCTACTGGCCCACACACGTGGGTAGCAAGTCAACTTCTGCCCTGCCTCCTGAGCACTCTGTGATGTGCTGCAGCGTGGCAGGAGGAGGCAGATGGACGTGAGCAGGAGCTCAGCAGAACTGGCAGAGTCAGCAGTTGATTGGATGCCATTTTTACAGCTGTTGGATGTTTGTGTTTGGGGAAGGAAAGCTGATTCGTGAGTTTAAGACAAGGATAATTCCAGTCCTTCCAGTGCCTCCAGAGGGGAGTGATTGGGAGGGAGTCACAAAGTCTTGGAGATTTTGCAACTTGTGTGCACAGTTCTTAAGGTGACAGATTGGGAGAAAGGCTCTTTTTCTTGTTCAATCTTTGGAGGAGAAAGCATGTAGGATATTTTAAAAATCGGTTTAGTTTCGGGAAAAACTTATTTGATCTCGAGTTTCACTGCAATTTTGATCATTCTCTCTGGCATCTGGTGCCCATTTATAAGGTACAAAGTAAGGAATCAGTTAAAAGCATGTGCAAGCAAATGTGAAATTTGTGCTAGAACAATGCACTTGGGGATTTTAATACAATAATTGACCCCTTCCTTGTTTGTCTGTCTAACGCTCACTTTGTTCTCTCTAGATCTCACAAGATATTGAATTTACTGGCTAGAGAGGGGCTGCAGACTAGAGAAAACAGAAAAAATCGCTGAGAAAGCAAAATAAAGAGGTTAGTGGAAAAATCTTGTTTTCTCTGGGCAAATAGTACTTATTCTCTTTGTGATCAACACCAGATACTCTCCAGCAAAGGTTTCTTGTTTTTCACTCCATCCTGAAAGAGCCCTTACAACCAGGACTATTGTTTCAGTGGCTCTACAGGTTTGACAAAAAAAGCCCTGAGAGCCATGCAATCCATGTCAGATAACAGCTGATCAGCACTGAAAACCTGCCACCTCACCACTTCCCAGCTACCAAAGAGATTTACAGACAGTGGTGACACACATAAGCTCCCTTCCTCTTACTCTGCATGTTTGTCATGATGCAGGCTTTTTATATTTTGCAGGTAGATCTTAAATTTGTAATGGAAAAGGAAACTGGTGAATATTTTGTGCCTGGGTGGCTGGGAGGGAGAAACAATCCCTGGGTGAATTGTGCTCAACATAAAACAAATAATCTGTGCTGCAAAAGGCCCTGTGCTTCTCTGTGATGTGGGCACTGTGAAACCTTCATGCTGCCACCACAGTTGGAAGTGTTTGTTCTTTGGCCCAGAAGATGCAGAATTTTGTGGTGCCTGACAATTCAGAGTGCTGGTCCTGTCTCAGAGCTGGTGGTGGACTTCACTGAGCTGCTCTGAAAGTGGAAACAGGGACAAAAGGCAAAGTTTCAGCAGAGTCATTTCAGTGGTGTCTTCTTGTCTCCATCCTTTGCTTGTGTCCCGTTGCACCACTCTCCTCTTCCAGCCAGATCCACCTCTTCTAGGCAAGACTACTTCAGTCAAGGAATGCAATGGTTTTGGTATTTCCTATTCTAACTCTTGGACTAATGTTTAGGTGTCTGGCCTCTGATTTATTTCCATGCTTCTCAGGGGCCAAGTAGCTGTTTGGATCCTGTAGCCAGGCTTTCCTTAGGCTGGCAGAACAAGTTACCATCATGAGCTCATTCCTATCTATAGCCACACAGCCTCTTTGTTTCTCAGCCTGTTGGTTTTACCTGTCCCTAGGAGCAAGTGTTGGGCAGAGGAAGGATTGCACAGCCAGGCCCTGATGCATTTGTCTGGCTGGGGAATCCCGAGTTCTGAGGTCTGATAATTAAGTGTTTCATTAAGCCTGACACTGTGGTGGAGCCTGGAAAAATATGTGATGTGTGTTAGAGCATTTTCACGTGCTGGAGCACAGAGCTCTGCTAGAAACTAACACTGGGGGAGAGCTGAGTCTGCTGGGTTGGATTAAACCTTATTCTAAAAGGTCTAAACCTTGTTCTGAAAGGATCCAGTGGGTCCTGAGTGAGGACAAGGGACAACTGATGGCAGCTTGTCCCAGCACAGGCTGCTCCACCTGCAGCCTCTTCCCCAGGAACTTCCTCTGTGGAAGTGGAATAAACTGAAAAAAGAACAGAACTGTCCT